TTCCCTCCCTCCCTGTCCTCCATCCTGCTGCATTCATCCCTCCCTGGTCCCGGCGAGGCGGATGGGTCTCTAACGCAGCATGCGGGATACCCTGTTTCTCCTAACAGATCCTCCCTTTGGGGCCTGCCTTTCCCGCTCTCCCGTTCCCATCGTTTTAAGCATGTCTCTTTTTGTTTGGAAGCAGCTTCCTCCTCTTTCCGATCCGACAAGCCGTCCCGCGCCTCCGTCAGGAGTATCCGTGAGTTTCCTCCCTCCGCACTGCATGATGTGTGACCATCTCTCCCCGTCCCTCCTTGTTCCTCCTCCGTTGACACTGCTGCTTAGAGCCACTAATTCCCTTGTGCCCGGCCTTGTTCCTCCACCAAGGCTCAGATTAACAGAGCTGCTCTAGGCTGGGATTTACTGCCCGCAGAATTGGGCTTTTGCTGCCCCGCAGCTGCCGTTTCCCATTTCCATTGCCGGCATCCCGGCCCTCATCCCTCCTGCTGCCCCTGCTGAGGGCTGGAGACGGAGCGGGTAGCGCCGGACGCTCCGAGCGGGATTTGTGGCCGATGCTCCCGGAGCCTCGGGGGGCTCGCGGGAGCGAGGAAGACCCTGGGCAGGATGTGCAGGTTCCTGCCGAAGGCTCTCGCTGGGTCCCTGGCTTGGAGGCATTGGGATAGAGGAATTGCTCTGGGCTGCGGGACCAGTTTGGGATTTGGGGAAGTCGCCGCAAAAAGGGACCTGCTTTTGGCTGCTGCTTTTGGTGTTTTCTGGGTCCTCTTCTGGTGTCGGTTCCGCCCTTGCTGGGGGTGTTCAGGCCGCTTGTGCTCTGCCCGTGCTGCTCCCTCATCCCGTTGGGAAGAGCTTGAGCCCAGAGCCCCAACAGGGAGGGCGAGCGGGCGCCGGAGGCCCTGGCAGAGGCTGCTTTAGCTGCAGCCATGGTCAGCAGCATCCCCAAACCCCACAGCTCAGCGCGTGCCCGTCCCAGGGCTTTTATTTCGGTGGTAAACAGAGCAAGCAGCAGCATTCCCTGCTGCAAAAACAAAACCGCCCTAATCCCATTTGCAGCCTAAAGCCTCGTGCTTAAACCACGCAAAGGAGACCTGGGTCCCCGGGGCGTCCCCGGGGCCTCGTGAGCCCCGTCAGGAGGGTAATTCCCAGTGGGGGCCGATGCCAAAACCCCATCGTGGAGGAAGCGGCTCCCAGGGTGGCTCCCAGGGGCGCT